GAAGGTTGGGCAATCTACTTCTGTAGAGAAACCGCCTCAGAAACCCAACGAGAGGTCACTAAGAGTCAGGGCCGACTCAATGGCCATGAGTTTTTTGTTTTGGTTTGAGTCTATATCAGCATATAGAACAAGGAAAAATTCCCACCCTTCTGGAACTAATTAATATTCTACTCTGTTGTTGTTGTGTGCTGTAGAGTCGGACCCAACTCATAGTGACTCCTCCTTGGGTTTCTGAGGCAGTATCACTACAGAAGTAGATTGCCCAACCTTCCTTCTGAGGAGTGGCTGGTGGGTTTGAACCACCAGCCTTCTGGTTAGCAGTCAAGTGCCTTAGGCACTACGCTACCAGAGCTCCCAATATTCTACTCGAGAGACAAACAATCCTTAGACAGATGTTAAACCAAAACTGAAACGAAACGCACTGCCATCGACTCAATTGTTACTCATAGCGACCCTATAGGACAGAGTAGATCTGCCCTGTAAGTTTCCAAGGCTGTAAATCTTTTGTGTGTGTGTGTGTGTGATGCACTATGCACATATAAAAATACAATATGTATATTAATATATGTATGCATATATATTTATTCTTTTTAAATGATAGCATGGTATATGTAGCATTCTCTTTATTTTTCCACTTAACAGCATATTTGGAGATCTTTTTCGTTTTTTACCAGTACATATTGGCTGAGTTTTGTCATTGTTTTTAATGTATGTGTCATAATTTACTTCCAAAAAAAAAAAACCAAACTCGTTGCTGTTGAGTCGGATCCGACTCATACCAATTCCTCCTTGGGTTTCTGAGGTGCTATCACTACAGAAGTAGATTGCCCAGTCTTCCTTCTGAGGAGCAGCTAGTGGGTTTGAACTGCCAGCCTTCTGGTTAGCAGTCATATGCCTTAGGTACTATGCCACCAGAGCTCCTATAATTTACTTAGCCATCCCTAATTATAGACACTTAGGTTATTACCCCCAAAACATTTTGCTATTAATAATACCCTATAATAAATAATCTTATGTGTATAACTAAATTCCCTGTCATCAAGTCAATTCTTATCATAATGACCCTATGGGACAAAGTAGAACTGCCCCGCTATTAGAGAGATGCAAATCAAAACAACAATGAGATACCATCTTGCTCCAGCACTAGTAGCAAAGTTCAACAAGACAGAAAATAACAAATGCTGGCGAGGTTGTGGAGAGATTGGGACTCTCATACACTGCTGGTGGGACTGTAAAATGGTACAACCATTGTGGAAAGCAGTATGGCGATTCCTTCAAAAGTTGGAAATACAAATACCATTTGACCCAGCCATCCCATTACTAGGTATATACCCTAAAGAAGTGAGAGCCATAACAAGAACAGATATATGCACGCCGATGTTCATCGCAGCACTATTTACAATAGCCAAAACTTGGAAACAACCTAGATGTCCAACAACTGAGGAATGGATAACCAAACTTTGGTACATTCACACAATGGAATACTATGCAACGCTAAAGAATAATGTAGAATCTGCAGAACACCGCATAACGTGGATGAACTTGGAGGACATTATGCTGAGCGAAATAAGTCAGTCACAAAAGGACAAATATTGTATTAGTCCGTTATTGTAAAAGTTAAGGAAATGTTTATATATTGGAGGACATTTTCTTTGTTGGTTACCAGGGGTGGGAGGGAAGGGGAGGGAATGCTGTTAGATAGATAGAGATAAATATTGATTTGGGTGAAGAGAAGGGCAATGTACCAAATGTGAGTGACCAATATGGCAGCATTGAGGATGAGAAAGACAGAGAGAGTTACATGGGCATTACAAACAACAAATATGAACCCCTTTGTAAATACAATACTGAGTTGTTAATGAAAGCAAATATGGGTATAGGGACGGATAGATGGGTGAACAAGCTAAACAATTATGTATGTCTAAATGGAGAGTGTATCCAAGATCATATACAGGGTTGGCAGAAAATGGGCCTCTCGAAGAGTATGAAGGGATGGACACTGGGAGGAGGTAACTATGGGGAGGAAGTGGGAGGGGAGCTGCTGCATTGTAAATTTTGGTCAATGACATGAGACAAAGTATATGTGAACTGCTGTATGAAAAGTGAATTTACTCTGTAAATCTTCACCCAAATCCTAATAATAAAAAAAAAAAAGTAGAACTGCCCCACAGGGTTTCCAAGGCTGTAAATCTTTACAGAAACAGACTACTTCTTATGCAACTTTTTAAATGCATACATATGTGTATACATATATATGTTATTTAAAATTTTGCATAAAGTAAATCTGTAGGATAAACTAAACTTCCCAGATACGGAATCACTTGGTCAGAGAAGGCTATAAATATGCAAGCAGTCTGCCACATCTTTCTCCAACTGAGAGGCTGGTATATTCAAACAACCGGCCTTTGTTAGCAGCTGAATGCTTTAACCACCTTGCCACCAGAGCCCCTTTTAGAAAGGTGTTAGATATCTAAAAAATATAAATGGTATGAAGGAAATTAATCTAGGGAAAGGCACGGGAATGCCAGTGGCAGGGTCGCTTTTTCAGTAGAATAATCAGGTAGGGTGACATTTAAGATGTTAAGGAGAGTGTGCATCCCGTGGATACCTGGAAGAAGAGTATTCTAGGCAGAAGGAATAGCAGGTGCAAAGGCCTTGAGGCAGGAATGTGCCTGGCATGTCCCGGGAGCAGCAAGGAGGCCAGTGAGGCTGGAATGGTATGTGTGAGGGTAAAGTAAAAAAGATGGAGATGGGAAATGTACATTGCAGGCAAGATTTATGGTGGAAGGGATGAGCCATTCTGGGGGAAGCCAGTGATGAGAGCTGTGGGTGCAGAGGAGGTTGAAGAGAGGGAATTCGAGAGGAAGTGGTAAGAGAATCCCAGGCAGAGAGAACAGCTTGTGCAAAGCCAAGGAAGCACTTTGGCTCATCGTGGCTCGTTAATCAAGAATGAATGAAAAGTTGCCAGAGCTGGAACAGGGTGGGAGTGAGGGGGCAAAGCTGGAGGAGTCAGCTGCAGCCAGGCTGAGAAAGCAGCTGCAGCAGCAGCAAGAGGCAGGAGGCCTCAGTAGCCCTAGGAGAAGATGGGAGGGGAGGACAGTTAAGTGAAGCTGCAGGGCCAGGAGCTTCTGGCCGGAGAGCGAGAGGTCTTGAAGTCTGAGATTGAGACATGCAACAGTTCCAGATGACAGCAAAGTGTTAGGAGTGGCTGTGCAGAGCATAGCTGAAGTGAGGACCCAACCCAACCCTGCTTCCAAGATACAAGACTTGGGTTGTGAGAAAGATCAGCCAGGACCTCTGTGTGTCCTCAGGGTGTACGGGACCCCCAGAGGGAAATCACAGCTGCATGAGACGTGGGCGAATGAGCAGCCACCACTGGGAGGTGCTGCACGGCAGCTGGCCTGGGCCAGCCTCTCCCCCTCTCCACTTCCTCCTCCCACAGCTCTCTGAAACGGTTCCCTGGGCAGATATTGGTACTTCCCTGGCAGTTGATCCCAGACAGGCCTGATGGGCAGTGCCCTGGCAGGGCTGGGGGATGGGGTATAAGAAGGGGAAGCCCCCTTAGTTTCTGTATCACAGAAGGGATCCAACAGGGAAACCCCATAGGTCACAAAAGGAAAGCAGTTGAGTGGAGCTCGGGGAAGACCAAGAAACCCCCATCCTCTCCCTGAAGATGGGAAATCCAGGGTGGGGCTGTGCTGGAAGAGAGTTTTGGGGTTGATGCAACCTAGCTCTGACAGGGTTCTCTACAAAGTAGAAGCTTAGATCATTGGCTCTGTGGGGTTATTCTGAGTCTAACCCAATCCCTGATTCTGACCTCACACAACCCAAATCTGGCCACAGGCTGAGCCCTGACCCTGATCATCAGCTGAGCATTTATCCCAGCCCAAATTTGAGTCCTGTCAGAATCTTGGCCAAAGACAAAGCCCTGTCCCTGATCTGGACTGAGCTCTAAACCCAACCCTGACTTGCTATAGCCAACCTCGCAGGTCATTGATAGCTCTGACCCCAAACAAAGCCAAGATGTTGGCCCCAGACTAATCTCCAAACCCAGCCCTGACCCAAGTTATAGACTGCACTTTAATCCTAGGTCTCACCATGGTCAAAGACTGAACCCAGACCTTAGCCCTAGATGGACCCCAGGCCTACTCCCAGACGTGACCTTGGACCTGGCCTCATTCAACCCTGACCCTAATTATACATTGAGCTCTGTCAAGCCTAATGCCATGAGAATGAGTCTTGACTCACACAAAACCCCATCCCAACCACCCACTGAGCCCTGACTTCCCTTGTACCTCCCTGCCCTTGCCATCTGGTGAACCAGAAGAGAATAAGGATGACTCAAAACCCACAGTCTCCTTTGGTGAGCAGTCCCCTTAGCTGGCCATCCACCTTTGGAAAGAATATTGCCTAGTGATGGCCCTAGGTTGATGGTGACAGAGCAGAGAGGCAAGGCAGGGTTCAAGTCTTTGGGACCTATCAGTGAGTGGAGAGGGAGCTCTGGTGGCATAGTGCCTAAGGCATTTGACTGCTAACCAGAAGGCTGGTGGTTCAAACCCACCAGCCACTCTGGGGAAGGAAGACTGGGCAATCTACTTCCACAGAGATACCACCTCAGAAATTCAAGGAGGGGTCACTTTGACTTGGAATTGACTTGATGGCAGTGAGTTTAGTTTGGTTTTGGTTTAGTGAATAGAGATGGGGTGGCTCACTCAAGAGAGCAGGGAAGTGAGGTGAGGGCTGGACCTGGGAGCTTAGCAGGTGGCAGGAATTTGGATTGCCCAGAACCCCCACTTCCCGCCAGCCCCCCACCTGCTCTCCCACCCCCTCTGGGAAGGGAAATTACATTTCCCCATTTCAGCAAGGGGTGGTGAGGAGGGAAGACAGTGAACATGCAAAGCTGAAAGTACAAGCACTGAGGGAAAGTGAAACCGGGCAGAGCCCCCAGTATAAGACTCTCCCACCCAGGAGATGGCTGGCCAAAGAGGCTGGGCCCCGACATGGGCCAGATGACAGGAGACCTTGGCTGGCGTGAGTTTAAGACCAGGGCAGGGGGCAGAGGGGCAGGCTTGGTTGAGACTGGGCAGAGGATGGAGAGCTTGGCTGGGGTAGATGGGGGTCAAGGGCTAAAGAACAAGACTAAGGATACAGCTGGTTGGAAGAAGGGAAGCCTTGGCTGGCATCAATGGGGAGGGCTGCCTGGGGTAGACAGGTGGGAGGTTTGGCCAGGGCTGGGCAGAGAATGGGACAGTTTGGCTGGGATGAATGAAGTGGGGGTCCTGGGCACAGAAATGGGTAGTGTGTCTAGGCTAGGCAGAGATGGAAAGCTTAGACTGGCATGAGTTGGGCAGGGTCCCTGGGTCAGAGGGATAGGTGGTTTGGCAAGGGCTGGGCAGAAGATGGGACAATTTGACTGGAATGGGGAGGGTGGGGCAGGCAGTTTCACCAGAACTGGGGAGATGGATGAAGAGTTTGATTGGAGTGAATGAGCAGGGGCCAGGCAACTGTCTGAGACAGAATTGGGGCTGGCTAGAGGAAGAACAATAGGAGGATTTGGCATGAGTGAGGGGATCTGGCCAAGGACTCAGCAGTCTGACTGGGTAAGGGGTCTTAACCTTGAAGCTTGGAAGGAGGTCTAGACTGCAGTTGGTGACTGAAGGACTCAGAGGCTGGAACCTGACCTTGGGCAGAGGAGCAGGTGGCAGGGCCAAGTAGAGGCCAAGGGCTAAAGTGTAGAGACAGAGCCTTCAAAGGCCAGGGCCAAGGACCCAGAATTGGCTGTTGTGCAGAGTGGATGAGGAGAACCAGGAGAAGGATCTGGGAGCTCTAGACCTCAGGCAAGAAGGGAGGAACAGTAAGTGGCTGGTGGCACAACTCAATTTTGGATGGACAGTATCCACCTGGGGCTGGGAGCATCCACTCTGTCCCCTCCAAAGAATTAGGAAGAACCCTATTCTGTCTTGAGTCTTTAGGACGCCAGAGGATCACTACCTGTGGAAGCTCATGGGGAAGCAGGAGTCCATATTGGCTCCCTTTAACCTTCGTGGAAAGGACATTGGAGAAGCAGAGCCCAGGGGTTGGGGGCTGAGAATGGAGAGGGAAGAGGCGTGGAGAAGAGGGAGAGCGGGGAGGACTGGGGGCCAGTTTTGGTTTGTGTTTCGAGGAGAATTGTGTAACTCCAGCGATTACTAGATTTCCTTTCCCTGTGAGAGAAACCGCTGATCACAGCCTTCTTCCCTGAGCTTCCACCCCATGGTCACTCTTCCTTCTGTCCAAGAAACACAGGGCAGGAGACATCCTCAGAAACCAGCCATGTGACTCCTGGCTATTAAAGATGGGAGTTTGACTTGCTCAAGGAAAGGACCAAGGATGAGAAACAGAGGTCCTGTCCCCCCCATTCTAGGCCCTACTCCCCTCCTGACAGACCTTCTCCTCCTGTCCCCCACAGTGCAGATGAGGATCTGGTTTGCCCCAGGCAGGTCACTCTGCAGAGTGACTCACCTGCCTTGGTGGAGACTGAACCAACCAGTCCTTTTCACTCCCTAGGAGAGAGCCTCCAGCATTTCCAGCCTACGCCTGGGGCCCTACTGGCCAATTCAAGCCATTAGAGCCACCTGGCTGAGCCCAAGAAATCCTTGGCAGAACAGAATGTGGCCACTCTAGGGGCAGGTGGCTGCCTCCTCTGAGGTCCCTGGGGGGACAGATCTGGAATCCAGTCCCAGCTCTCCACCCACTGGTTATATCACCTTGGGCCAGTTAACCTAGTAAGCCTTACTTTCCTCATCTGCAAAATAGGGAGAATAGCAGCACCCAGGTTGCCACATAGAGTTATGCAGGTAGTTTGCTGAAAATGGCGCTTGGCCAAAGGAGTTAATGGGAGTCAAAATCCAGCCTGTGATCTGCTTGCAAAGGTAGGCACTCTGAAGAGCCGTTTCCCCTTGGAGGCAGGGATGCCTTCCTTTCATTCACACAGAGATGGCACCTGGTACCATATGGTGGCTTTTCATTACTGGTCAGTGAGATGATGCCTGTGAGAATACCTGCACCGTGCTGGCATAATGCATGCTCGGGACACTTCTCATCCTTCTCTCAAGACTCCCCGCCTCTTGTCCACCCTCTCCCCATCTCTCCAGGGCTCAGCCTGTTGCTGCTTTCCTTGCTCCTGGCCCGAGCTGGTGTCTGGGGATTCCCAAGGCCCCCAGGGAGGCACCCCCTGAGCCTGCAGGAGCTGCAGAGGGAGTTCACCATCAGCCTACGTCTGGCAAGGAAGCTGCTCTCCGAGGTCCAGAGCCTGGCCCACCACTTTGTGAGTTCCCTAAGGCAGCTGGCTCTGGGCATGGGCAGACCTCAAACCTGCTCTGGCCCCCACTAACAGACTTTGCCCCACAGGCCGAATGTCATTTGCCTGGAGTGAACCTGGACCTTCTGCCCCTGGGAGAGCAGCTCCCCAACGTTTCCCTGACCTTTGGGGCCTGGCGCCACCTCTCTGTGAGTAAGGGCTGGTGGGGTGTGGGATGGGAGCTGCCAGTGAGGCTAGGACTGCAAAATTGAAGGTGGAGCTGGAAATGATTCTGGATAAGGTTGAGTATGTCACTGGACATAAAGAAACTGGAATAGGATGCAATAAAGAAACGAAGTAAGTGAGAGGGTGAGAGAGTGACAGTAGGCATGAGAGGAGGTGAAGATGGGAAGAAGATTGGAGATGAAGGTAAAATTGAGGGACAGTGGAGAAGGGATGGGGATAGCTTGTGGGGATAGGACTAGAATAGGGTTGGAGATGGGGTGGGAAGATGGTGAGAATGAGACTGGTCATATGGAGGAGCTCTGCAGTTGGGATTAGGGATGGGAAAGAGGGTGGAGGCACGATGAAAACAAGTGAGAGACTGGAGATGGGTGGGGATGGTGGAAATGCGCCTGGAATGGGGTTGGAGATAGAGCTGGAAAGAGGGTGGAAAAAACCTGGAGATGCAAGTGGAATGGAGTTGCAGATTTGGGGATGGGGATGGAGACGGGGTTGGGATTAGAGACAAGTCTGGGATTGGGCTGAAGATAAGGTTGGGAATAGAGATGAGATGGAGATCAAAGACAGTAGAGATGGGATAGAGATGGAAATGGTGATGAACATGGAAAGGAATGGGGATGGAGACAAGGTTGAGGATGAGAATAGATACGAGGATGGGGTAGGGATGGGAACAGGAATGGAATGGGGGTTAAAGTTGAGATGATAACGGGACCCAGACCTTGATGGGTTTGGGTTTGAAGTGTGTCATCTTTGGCCTTGGGGCCTTTCTTGACCCCCTCTGCTTCTTTTCAATAGGATCCGGAACGACTCTACTTCCTTTCCATGACACTTCGCCCCTTCCACGCCCTGCTGGGAGGGCTGGGGAGCCAGAAGGGCTGGACCAGCTCAGAAAGGATGCAGCTGAGGGCCATAAGTCTAGATGTCCGGGATCTGCAACAGCATCTTCACTTCCAGGTAGAGTGCCCACTCACCCTGCTCAACCCCGGATACCAGCACACAAAAGTGAGGCTCATTGGCTCCCTTTTTAAAACAGCCCTGCCCACAGATTGGGCGAGTCTGCGGGGAGATGCTCCATCAGCAGGCTTGTCAAGTTGGTTTCTTCTCTCTTCCTCTGACATCACCTGGCTCCTGAACATTTCAAAGGGAAATAGGAATCTTACCCTTAAGCGAAGAATAGAAAATGCAAGCAGAATCAAAACCAGCCATGTCATCTCTCTGCCTGTTTCTGATCCTGAGACAATCTTTAAAAGCAAAGAGGAACTTCCTGAACCACAGATCCCCAAGGCCATCTTGGAGGAGTGGCCGAGCCCCATGAGTATCATCTTGGTCCATGACTTCCATTCTCTTGACCAAAAAGTCAGGCAGAACACATGAGACGATGACATATTGGAAAAGCTGAAATAGGGGTTGTCCAAGGAAAAGGTGACCCTATAGTCACTGATGTCATTATGAGCTCTTTGGCACAAAAGAGGAATGAGGACTCTCTCAGGTTCCCAGCCTGGCCATTCTCTGACCCATGGGCCTCTCCTAACAGGTGCTGGCTGCAGGATTCAACCTCCCTGAGGAGGAGGAGGAGGAGAAGGAGGGGAAGGGGCTGCTCCCTGGGGCCCTGGGCAGCCTCTCACAGATGTCGGCCCAGGCGTCCTGGCCCCAGCTCCTCCACATCTACCAGTCACTGCGCTCCTTGGAGCTTGTCTTGTCTCGGGCCATGCGGGACTTGCTGCTGCTCTCCCAGGCTGGGAATCCAGCCAAGCCTTGGGGTTCCCGCTATCCGGCTCCCAGCCCTGACGGAGTCTCCCCTCACCCTCACCCTCACCCTCACCCTCACCCTCTGGGACTAGAGTTCCCACCAACAGGATAGGCTCCGGCTCACTTGCCTTAGACAAGGCAGGTTTCCACCAGCTCCAGCCCTAAACCACACCCAGTAACTTAAAGCCCCTCCAATCCTTGACAGATATTTATTTCTTGGATATTTATTTATTGTTTAAGGAGAGGATAGTTTATTTATTGTTTCAGTGCCTATTGGTCCTCCTCAGTCTGGACCACTGTGCTGGGTGCCTAATAAAGCACTCTTGTTCCTTTCTCGGCCTCAACTTCTTCTCAGAGAAAGGACCCAAAGGGCAGAAAAGCCTGGAATGCAATCTGAAGCCTCTGGCTACCCCAGACCCTTCTCTGTTCCCCCATGCCAGGTGGCTCAGCTAGTGGTTGCCATAGTAACCAGTATGGTTCTGAGGCTGAGCTACCATTTCTGAGGCCCAAGGCAGCTGGTCTGTTACCCATCAACCTTTGATTCCAAGTGGTGTTCCTTAGACCTTCCAAACCCCTTCCCCTTGGGCTGACTCCATCTCTGGAGGTCTGTGTTATACCAATACAGCTCTGCAGGGGTGTGGGGAGGACAGAGGGGGATTCAGAGAAGGGAGGGCAGTGGGGATAGCTCCCGGTCTCTTCCAAGTCTTTCCAAACCTCCAGACACATGAGGGAGGCTGAGGAGGTAATCAGGGCAGGACCCATGAGAAGTGGTCCCAGTGGGGCAGGAGGTCCACCAGCCCGCACTGGACAATCAGCCTCTAAGTTCAGGATCCTCAGAACCATCTGGTTTTGTTAGCTCCATGAACAACACACCAAGAAACGGAGGCCGAGAGGGTGGAAAGGAGTGTCTGAGATTGCAGAGAGTTGATGGAAGGGCCTTCTGATGTCACTCAGGGCCTGGCTCTCAAGGCCTCAGTCCTGGTCACTGGGGCTTCGGCCGGCCCAGTCGGGCTTGCAGTTCCTGCATCATGCCAGGATGTGCAAGGCCAAACCTGCAGGTGGAAGACAGGCCCATGGGAACCGGTCCCCAGGTCCACAGCCTCCTCCCTATCCCAGGCCAGTCACCTCACCCTGTGCCTACCCATGTCCCAGGGGCCTTCTCCTGGCTGGCACCGGGGTCCCTTCAGGCCTTGGAGGGCTTGGTTCCGGGGGCTCTTCTAACTGGAGATGTCTCTGCTGGGGGGCTGGGAGTTCTGCCTCAGGTGGCGGGCTGGGGGTCTCCTCGTGCTGCCCACGTGCAGGGGTCCGACGGAAAGAGGGCCGGGAGCGGCGCTGTGAGGAGCTGCGAGAGAGCAGTGCGCGGCTCCGTGGGACAGAGACATCCAGGCGGGACCCAGGCAGCAGGGCCTGTAGGGAAGGCAACCCAGAGTATTGTGGAGCTGGCTTCAAGGTTCTGCTCTCTCTGGCCCTGGACCCTGCCCAGAGTCCTCACCTCGCTCCAGCTGCTGTGAGCGTCGCCTTGGGCACTTCCTGTGGGCTCTGCAGCCTCTGCCTCCTCCTTCAGCTGAGGCTCAGCCTTTGGACGGTCCTGGGCTGTTGGCTCTTCCTTCTGGCCTTTGACATCCTCTAGGCCTTCTGGATCAGCTTCCCCAACCTCCTCATCTTCCCTGGCCTCCTCAAGTTCCCTGGCCTCCTCAGCCTCCCCAGCCTCGCCAGCCTCCTTGGCTTTCCTGGCTTCCTCAGCCTCCCCAGCCCCCTCAGCCTCCCCAGCCCCCTCAGCCTCCCCGGCCCCCTCAGCCTCCCCAGTCTCCTCAACCTCGCCAGCCTCCTTGACTTTCCTGGCTTCCTCAGCCTCCCCAGCCCCCTCAGCC